TTGTAGCTCAGTTTTTATATGAGTTTCTATAGCACTTAATACAACAATGGCTCTATTCTACTGGTCGTTCTTTGTTAAACCACGCCCACCTGCGCAGTGGTAAAATCCTACTTAACAAAGACAACCAGTCAAATAGAAAACTTGTAAACTCGACAAAACAAAATGGCTGCAGAGTTACGTGATACACGCTGGGTAACCAAGATTGCTTGAGCTTGTGGCAGTATGGTTTTTCAGAAAAAAATGTTTTCAGAAAGTTTTTGAATTCTGTTAGCCTACAATTATTTTTTGACTTCATGTGGGTAAATATTATAATTTTTATTTTCTGAAATTGAATCTAAAATTATATTAACACAAATGTTGTTTTTAAACTGACCAATAGGCCCTGTTTGTTTTGGTCACATAAAAAACTTAACGCTGATTAACGCACTCTGTTTACGTTATATTTCATTGTCAACAAAGTCTATTTTACGAACCAGTCGAATGAAAATAATACTCAATGAAAATTCGTAGTCAACGGAATGAACCAGTCGAATAAGCCCAATGATTCAAAAAGAAATCTGAAATTCTAATTATGCACATTACAATTGTGCTTTGTAATATAATTGTTGTGATCTGCATAAAAGTAACAATGTATTCTGCAAATGTATTACTGTACATACAAAATAATCATCCCATTAACACAGCGCTGCATTAACATTTTATTTTGCTAAACCAAGAGTACGACTTATGATTCTCTGATTTCAAAGAACTGTAATCAAAGAAAGAAAAAATGTATGCAGTTGAGTATTTTTTAAACTGTTAAGATTTCTGTATAATAATAATAATAATAATAATAATAATAATAATAATAATAACAATAATAATAATAATAATAATAATAATAATAATAATAACAATAATAATAATAAACATCAGTACATACATCAGTATTTGTGATGAAAGAGTGATTAAGTCTACCCGAAAAATCTGCACCAGATCCAGCAATAATAAAACAGAGAATGATTATAAAATAAGAAGGGAAATTGGAAAAAAGGAGCAATGGAGATAGAAGGTTATGCACGGGCAATTTATGCGACAGACGGAAAAGGTGAGAGGGAATGATGGTTAAAGAAAGGAAACATAAAAAGGGAGACTGAGAGCCTTTATCAGGGGCGGATACAGGACTTAGCATAAAGTGGGGGAGGGGGGGCGCCAAAGTAAAGATGGACGACCAGCCAAGATACGAAGCACCGAGGGCATGGGCAGATGCAGCCTGCCAGAAAAAAAGGGGGGATGTAATCTGCGAGCGAAGCGAGCAGCCTTAGGCTGGAGCCAGGGGGCCTCCCGGGGCCCCCAGCGGGGTGCAGGGGCAGAGCCCCTGGTGGGGATCCAAGGGGAAGAAGCCCCCTTGAAGCCCAGCACATTTGAGGAATATGAGGTTGTATTGAGTCGATTTTGACTATCTAGCATGGTAGTTTTCAGTAACAAATAAATTAAAAAAATGGTGTATGTCTTTTAAAAGAAATTTTAATATACAGGGTACCTGCAAAATGCAACTATGACATGTGTCATTAAATTAGTAATAATTCATCTACTCACAACATAATCTTTGACAACATAC